TCCTGCCTTAGCCTCCCAAATAGCCGGGATTACAGATACCTGCCACCTGGCTAATTTTTGAATTTTTAGTAGAGATGGGGTTTCATCACGTGGCCAGGCTAGTCTCAAAATCCTGACCTCCCTCAACTGATCTGCCCGCCTCGACTTCCCAAGGTGCTGGGATTACAGGTGTGAGCCACTGCGCTGGTGCCCAGCCTCTAATTCTCCAGTCCTACATAACTGGTTATCTGGAAATATTATTCATGATGCCAACATTAAAAATGTCTCATCTTGTGAAATCTAAAAATATTTCACTTCTAGTTATGTCTGTGTCTTAACAGAACTTTTCTCAAATGCTAAAAGCCATTTGTTGTCTTTAGAACAGAAGCTCTGGAAACAGGTTTTCTAATACTTGTTGATTAATTATCACTTAAATTTTTAAAAAATATAAGTTGGGTGCATACGTTTATGTTTAATGTTTTCTAGTAACATGCAGATAATGATCACTAGCACTGGCAAAGGAACATAGGTTTTTTTCAGAGTGTTTATAAATAAGCTTTGGGTCAATCATATACTTAGGCTGTGGGACCTTGGTAAAATTATCTAAATTTTCTATACTTCATTTTCTTAATTTATAAAATTACTTGTACCTGATTTCACCTCCTACTTCCTTGTCACCTCCTTTCAGGGCTCCTTTTTCTTTATCTGTCCCATTAAAGATGATGTTCTTCAGGGTTTGGTCTTAACCGCTAATCTTTTCTAGGGATCACAAACTAGCCTGACAAAGTTCAGGGATATCTTTCTTTTCCAGGGCTAACAGTGTTGGAAATAACTGATGTGAATGTCTTTAAGTAAGACAGACAGACACTTTACTACTCCCTGTTGTCTGCTATTTATATTACCTGCCAGGTTCCTAAAATAAGTTCATGACCCGAACTTTATACTCGCTGATTTTGTGTCATGTGCTGGGTTTATAGTAGAGAATAAAAATAAAAATGTTCTTTGAACTAACTAAGCTTTCAGACAAATGGGGGAAACACAGTTGAAGACATGTTTTAAAAAATGTTATGCTTAGGGCACAGCGATAGTTTAACAACAATACTGCTTAGAGCTCAAACAAATCTTTTACCATTCAACCCAGTACTCATTTCATTAAACTCTATGCCAATTACTCCCCTGTGATTTTTCAATTTTACACTGAATATAAGTTAACCTTCAAAATTTTAAATCCTCAGAGTTTCTAATATGCTAATATGTATAAGGTTTCTCACAGATGATAATAACAACTACATATATTTGTAGAACATGTACTATGGCTGGCTAAATGCTTTACACAAGTCAATTTCAAATATTGTAATAATCTCCATTATACAGAGAAGAAAACTTGAATTAAAATTAATTTGCCTCACATAATACTTAGTAAATGAGGACTGAAACTCAGGTCTGTCTGATGCTGCAGTTAGCTCTTTTAATGCTCTAGCTATAATTTCTCTAAAGGATATAATTACAAAGCATTTTCCAGTATATTTCATGACAGAATCCTAACCCAGGAATACCTATTAACATTCGTTTGAACTAGTATTCTCTAAAACATTTTGGGAAATGCTGGTTTAAGTCTCTGGACTAAAATTAAAAAAAAATCAAGACTGTGAGATTAAAATAGATATAACAATTACATGCACAGTAATTGAAAATATAAAACATTTATGAAGAGAAAAGCACAGAAAACAGTAGACCAAGTATGTTAATTGTGTTTGATTGGTGAGAATCAAGACTTTTTCTTTTTCCTGTACTAAATTAAAATGGTAACAATGCATTTTTTATACCAAAAGCTTTTGAAACATATTATCTAAATCATTCTGCCCCTTCACATTAATTTTGTCCGTCTCAATGTTAATTATCATATTTCATCAACGCTAAAAAGCCATTCATCGTATGATACCTCTAATGCAGAATCTCAAATACTGTACATGAATTTATAGTACACATTAATCATTAAAATATACACACAAAAGATGATTTTTGAGATTCTGAGATCTTCATGATCATTTTTGTTCACTCAGCAATTTCCTCAGGAGTCCTCCCCACCCCACCTACATTGCCTGCGATCTCTTTTCAAAAGCCAAATCTCTGTCCTACGATGACAACATTGGGAATCAAACATAAGTCAGTTACTACTTTGAAATCAAAGTTTTACAAGCAGATTTTTAATTTTAGAATTCCTATGCTATATAGGAACTCTACACAAATTTGAAAGTGTCTCTACTCAAAACCTCTAATTACACTCTTTCGAAATTACAGTAGGTAAAAATTTACATTTTTGTTGGAAGCTTTAAATACTATATTTCAAGAAATCTAAAATGCCATCAATTGTAAAATGGTTTCAATCCCAAGAAGCTCTATTATTTTATGTACCAGTATGAAAAAAAACCACTATTGAATCAACTGACCCAATGCTTTCTTATCACTTAGACATATCTACATTATTTATTAAAAGACTTCTTTTACATTTAACCCTGGATTTTTATCTTGTATCACCCTTTTGTTTTCCCTCATACACAGTAACTTTTCATTCTAATGCTGATCATAATCTTCTAAATGATCTTTAAAAGGGAAATTAAACTCAACAACTATATGCCAACACTGCACATATAACTCAACTGAAATAATGAGAAGATTAAGTTATGACTAAGTGTGTGTAAGTGTGGGCAATGACAAATATCTCACAACTGCCAATTCATCTACAGTGATTTAAAGATGTCAACAATTTAAAAATCATCCCTATTTCAGAGATGTATATATGAGAAAAATGTGTATATGAGAATTGATAGACTATAGTAATTTTAATCATTTTTTTCCTTTCTTCTCCTTCCTTCATTCCTCTTCTTGCCTTCCAACTTCTTTCCCTGATTTGCTACACAATCTAGTTACTGGATATCTAAGAATGTTACAGTATACATAAAATACCCCACACTGAAAGAACGTCCCTATTATAGTGTTAAGCAATGTGGTACCTTTTAGAACTAGGTGAAAATTCCTGCTAGGATTTAAATCATATGTGTCAAAAGTCAGAATTTAAAGAAGAAAATTAAATACACTGAGAACAATGCATTTCAAGACACTCAAAATATGTAAGTGCAGCAACCAGCAGTAATTCCATAGGCCTTTTATCAACCTTTGCCAAAACCTATAAAAAGAATATCTAAAATTGCTTTTTTATGAAAGTTCCTATTTATTCTTGTTCCCCTTACCAGAGAGCCTGCTTTCCCCTTACTGATGAGAACACAGGGGGTCCTGGGTAAAGAGTCCATAAAATTTAAAAAGGAGTATGCCTTGGCCTCCCATGACCCTCTTACCTCACAATAAGGCCATCTTTTACCTGGTTCAGATTTGCAGACTAGGTCCATTAGATACCTTGTCATTAAATACCTATAATATACCCTAATCTTTGTGATCTTGACAGGTATTATTTCCATTTTATAGACAGATCCAGGAAAATTACATGACTTATCGGAATCCCTTCAAGTATCACAGAGCAAAGCCATGATTTTAACTTGCGTTTGCCACTCTGAAACTCACACTGGAATTCCTTTTTAAAGTGTCCTTCAAAGTCTAATTAAATAAAATTAACCCTGTCATCTATAATACTCTTACATATCCAAATTAAGTACATCAAGAATATCACTGGCCATTTTTTACCACCCATAGTCAAACCACCATTATGCTTCCTCTGGATTATTGCAACACTTTTGGTGCAACACTCTATTGGTCTCTTTTCTCCTACCACCCCCTCCTCTTGTGTATTTTCCTTTATGAGTGACCCTCTTAAAAGGAAGTCAGATTCCATCACTCTACTGCTCAAAACCCTCCAAAGTCCTATTTCATTTAGAATAAAAGTTAGATGTCCTCAAGATCTTCATGACTTGCTCGCCTTGATTTAATCTCCAGTGAAGGACTAAACCCTTTACTCTGACCTACAGGCTTCCTTGCTATTCTAGCAGGTTTCTGCTTCATGACCTTTGCAATGGCTGGTCCCTCTGTCTGACTGCACTTCCCCAAGATATTCGCATGGTTACATCTCCCACTTCTGTCAGCCCTTTACTTCAAAGTTATCTTTTCAGCAAGACCTTCCTGTGTCACTCTATAACCTTCTTCCCTGCTTTGTATTTCTCTTCAGGACTATCACGACCTAAAATACAGCATGTTTCTAATTACTTTGCTTAGTATGTGCCTTCCTCACTAAAATGTGAGCTACAAGTAGACAAAGATTTCTGTCTGTCTTGTTCACTGCTCTTCACCTAATGCCGAGAACGGTGCCTGGAATAGAGTGGGCGCTTAATAACTATTCGCTGAATGAATAAATTCCCGTCTTCACCCTTCTCTCCCCCAAAGCACCCAAGTCCTTTGACACACACATTCACATAACAGTAAATACGCTTAGGGATCGATATTTTTCGGTAGCATTCTTAACTTAGCCCTGCATCCCATTTCTCAAACGTGGCTCCTTTAGAAGGAGGTCTCAAGCTCTTTCCTGTTTCCTCAGGCCAGGGCTGGTCCTGGTGCGAACGGACTACCCGTTAGCAACCGCAGGCCAGGTCCTCTCTCCTGGAGGCAAGTTACAGAAGGAAGACCCCTACGATCGCAATCCGCGATCCCCGAGTGAGTGACCCTCCACGACGTCACTCACATGAAGCGGTGGCCAGGGGTTCCGAGAAAGCCACAGCAGGAAGCATGTAGGAACAACCACCCGAGCACTCTAGCAGTGAGAAAGGACCCAATGAGGTGTCCTTGCTGAACGCCTGAGTCTTCTACAGATTCAATCGTCAATTCTTTTTTCCTCTTCCTGTGCTCAGTCCCATTAACCTTCCACACCACGCTCCTCGTCTTCCATTCCCTCACCCAGGATTTCCAATCGCCCCCTCGTCCCCCGGCACCTCTTTCTCTGTCGCTATATTTCATTTCGAGTCCAGTTTGGGCAACGGGCAGGACGCCACAAGTCGGGGTCTTTCCTCAGTATTGGGTCGCGGTGGCTGTGAGGGCAGAAGAAAAGGCCAGGCTGAGGGGAGGGTGGAGGGTAAATAGCTGGGATCTGTGATTGGGCAAGGCCAGGCTCGCGGTCCTTGCCGGGTTCCGCGAAGGGAACCTGAGCTGACTCGGCTCGCGGGCGAAGGGCAGCCTCTGAGCTCCCGGCGTTCCGGGAGCGGTCTCTTTTGTAGGAGCACCTGAAATGCAGCGTCTAGTGCACTAAGTCGTAGCGGCAGCACCAGGCACAGCGACTGCGCTGTGGCCCTGTGTAGAAGCTCCATCCCCCTTGTCTTTGTGTTTGCCTGCGTCCCCAGACTCAGAGGCAGGTATTTGCGTAATCGAGTTTTCCGTGTCGTAGTGGGTGGGGTCTGTGGGAGGTAGAGGACTATCAGGAGCAGTGAGTGGCCCCGCATGTCTTCAGAAGGGATAAGAGAACCGAGCTGTGGAGCTGCTTGCTGATGGGTACTGTCTCCATCCCTAGCTACAGCCCGCCTTTCCTGTGAATCAGGTTCACCTGAGTCCTTTGGGAACCGTAGGCTCAGCAGTCGCTCTGTCACTGCCTCAAAGGAAGGCTAAAGGAGGAGGTTAGAGAATCTAGAATCTGCCCCTCCATTTCTCACCATAGAGGCAGAATTTTGCTTTGATTTGTTTCTGGCGCTCGAGGTTTAGTCAATTGTCGAAGTGTAACACCCTCTTGAGCAGTAGGAGAACGTGAAGCAGTGAAAGGAAATTACTTGAGGATTGTCAGTGGCTGCTTTTCAAGGTCCCCTGTCCTGGTTTCTATCTATCTGGGACAAAAATAACCTCTTGAGAGAATGTATATATAAAATAAATGAATTAGTATCATTTTCCTGTAGAAGAAATGTGAAACTTTTGTTCATGATAAAATCAACATCTTTTGCCCTGTTTTTTACTTTCTCTCCCCATTCGAGTCATTTAACTATAAGTTCTTTGAGGGCAGAGATTCTGACTTGTTCATTATCCTTTGCCCACCGGCTGGAAAAACAACCGACTTAAAATAGGGGCTTCAAAATATTTGTTGAATGAATTAATTTTCAAGCCCAACTGCTTGCACTGTTGTTTGCCTCATCTAATCTCTCACTTCTGCGTTTTGTTTGTTCTTTTCCCCCAGTAGTTTTCTTCCACTCACCAGGTGTAAGCAAATGTCTGTGTGTGCATTTTTGTGTGTGAGCCTTTTTATGTACAACCATCTAAGAGGTAGTGAAAAAAGAACACTGATGAAATATTTTATGTTAATTAGTGTTTTATCTTTTTCGATCATTGTGTTTTATTTGGTTATTTTATTTTCAGCTAAGTGATAAAGCTATCTGATTGAAAATCAAATAGTTGGCCAGGCGCGGTGACTCACGTCTGTAATCCCAGCACTTTGGGAGGTCGAGGCGGGTGGATCACCTGAGGTCAGGAGTTCAAGACAGCCTGGCCAAGATGGTGAAACACCATCTCTACTAAAAATTAGCTGGGCGTGGTGGTGGGCGCCTGTAATCCCAGCTACTCGGGAGGCTGAGGCAGAGAATCGCTTGAACCCGGGAGGTGGAAGGCTGCAGTGGGCCGAGATCATGCCACTGCACTCCAGCCTGGATGACAGACTGAGACTCCGTCTCAAAAAAAAAAAAAAGTATGGCATAGTAGGATTGAATAATAAGGTACAACTGTGTCACCTGTCCTATTCTCAGTACTATTCTTCAAAGATAACCACTTTTAACCTTTTTTAGGTCTGTAGGTTAAATAATAAGTTAAACCTAGTTAATTCTTTTTGTTGACTTCTTGAGATAGCCCTAAGTTAAACTAACTCTTTTTCTGTTGACTTCTTGAAATAGCCCACACCATTCACAATCTCTCTTCTCAGAATTTGGGAATACTCATAATCATAATTTTTGGCTTTTGTATTGGTTACTTTATAATTCAAAATAATATACGTAAATTTTTCACGTCAACTTTTGAAACTATATTTGACTCCTTGTTTGGTAAAACGAGAAAAGTAGTGATTCTACCTTTTTCTTTATCACCTTAGAAACTACATTTATGCCCACTTTCTCTTAGCTGGACATTTACTTTTACATTGTCAAAGTTGATAATATATTTCTTAACTATAATATTTGCACTTTGTTCACGTGCCAAAAACCAATAAAAAAAATAAAATGTTTACAGTATTATGGCTTTATAGTTGTTATTTAGTGCAAGTCCAAGCTGTATGCTTCGATATGTTTTTTTCCCAGAGTTTTAACTTCATGACCCCTGTGCCATAGTAAGAAGATTATTTATGATATCAAGGTCAAATGGGTTTTTCTTTCTTTCCTGCCAAGGGCAAAATATTATGCTGTAATTGAGCATGCTTTATATTTTGGACTATGTAATTACATAGTTTTTAACTATCCCTACTTTCTTAATTGCCTTTCTGCTTTCTCCTGAGGAATAGGTAGGTGGATGTGCTTTCTTCACTGACTCTTTTCATTCTTTGTATGATGGACATAGAAGCTTCCATTCTTCTGTTTGAAGTTTTTCCCCTTGAAGCCCAATGGCTTTCTGTTTAATTTGAACAGATTGCATTCTAGTCCTTTTGAATTGCTCCTATCCTGGGTTTATATTCATTCTTGGGTAAATAACATTGTTTCTTAGCCCCTCACCTTCTGTTATTGGACTTCCCACTATTTCCCTGTAATATATCCTAAGGAAGCTTGCTCACAAAAGGCATGTGAAAGGTAATTTTATTTTTTAATGTTTGTATGGCTATAAATTATAATTTGCTCTTATGACTGATAATTTGGCTGTATATAGAATCAGAAGTATTTTCCTTCAACTCTCAATCCTTCCATGTCTTCTAACTTTTTTTTCCTTTTTTTTGAGCTGGAGTCTCGCTGTGTTGCTCAGTCTGGTCTGGAACTCCTGACCTCACATGATCCTCCCACCTCAGCCTCCCAAGTATCTGGGATCACAGGCACACGCCACCGCACCAGGCTCTTTTCAAACTTTCATTATTGCTGATGAGAATGACAGTTTCACTTTAATTTGTTGATAGCGGAATCATTTTTTTCTCTCTGAAATGTTTAAAATTTTCTAGTTACGTTTGATGCTTTGAAAATGTATGGCAATGTTTATCTTCTCATAGGCTCTTATTTTTTATGAGATAAAATTGACACATATTAAAACACACTGATTTTAAGTGGTCAGTTTAATGAGTTTTGATGCATGTATTCATCCATAGAACCACTACCAGCACAATCAAGATAGAAAATATTTCTACCACTACAGAAAGTTCCTCTGTTTCTGTTTATTCAAGCCCCCTTCCCCATCTGCAGTACTATCTTCTGAGTTTTATTAATACTGTAATTTAGAACTATAGTTCTGGAATTACATTTAAATGGAGTCATACAGTATGCACTCTTTTGTATCTGCTTCTTTCATAAACTTAATATTTTTGAGGTATATCCATGTTTTGGCCTGTTTGTTCCATTTTTCTTGTTAAATAGAATTTCATGGTACAAGTATGTTAACTGATTCACTTGTGAAACATTCGCATTGCTTCTGGTTTTTAGCTATTAAGAGTACAGTTCCTGTGAACATACTCATACCAGCATTTTTATGGACAAATATTTTCATTTTCTTGGTTAAACACCTAGTAGGAGTGGAATTTCTGAGTCACAAGTTAGGGATATTTTTCACTTTAGAAGAGTTTTCCAAATATTTTCCAAAATTCTTTTGCCGTTTTACACTCACACTAGCAATATATCAAAGCTCCACTTCCACATTCTCCTCAACACTTGTTATTGCCAGTCATTTTAATTTTAGCCATTGTAGAAGTTAAAGGGATTCTCATTTGCATTTCTCCCAATTAATGATATTAAGCAGTTTTTTCATGTGCTTATTGACTTTTCATGCCTTGTGTGAAAATGTATTTGTGACTTTTACCTATTTATGTATTGGCTTGTTTTATTATTGAATTGTGGTATTTATAGACTCCGAATACAGGTCAATTATATATAGACACACATATATTTGATTTTAAAAGGTCCTATGTATACATAATGTCATATGTATATATAGACAGATATAAATAATATTTCCCTTTAACTCGAAGTTTTATTTTCTCAGGTGCCTTTTGATATGCAGATGTTTTTAATTGGTGAAGTCTACTTTGTCAAAATTGTCTTTTGCGACTAGTGCTTTGTTATATCATGTCTAAGAAATCTTTTCCTAGCCTAAGGTTGTAAAGATACTCTCTTATGTTTTCAATGAGAAGACTTAACAGTTTTACCTTTACATTGAAACCTATGATCCATTTTAGACTTTTATGGATGTATCAGTAGAAGTTAAGGTTATTATTTTTTATATGAATATCTTTTTCCAGCACCATTTGTAAAAAAGACTTTCCTTGAACTCTTTTGAGTTCTGTTGAAAATCTATTTTATTTAAAAAATTTTAAATTATGAAATATGTGGTATTAACACACACGTAGATAAATATAGAGCATGGAAATTACCAAGCATAATGATAACATGAACACCCATTAATTCACCAGCTAAAAACTAGGCTATTATTCAAGATTTTTGAAGCTTCTTGTGGATTTTTCCCTAACCTTACCCCTGCTTTAATTTGGTAGTAACCATATTCTGAGTTTTTTTTTTTTTTTAAATTCCCTTACTTATTGAACATATTCTTACAATAGATGTAAGTATTCCAGAATTATGTTTTTGTTTTGTTTTTGAGTTTTATAAAAATTGGCATATTTTATGTTACTTTTTTCACTCAATATTCATCTGTGCTATTAAACATTGCTATAGTTTGCTTATTTTTCATTATGTATGCAGGTGAATATGCCACAATTTATTTAACCATTTACCTACCATTGGACATTTAAATTGTCTCCAGTTTGGGGATATTAGGAGCAATACTGCCCTGATCTTTCTTGCACAGGTCCACTCTGTGTGTGTGTGTGTGTGTGTGTGTGTGTGTGTGTGTGTGTAGGAGTTTCTGTAGGAATGTAATAGCGAGATAGTGTAAAACATTTCTGGTGATTTTACTAATTTACTCCCACTTACAGCAAATTAGAGATCCTATTTTTCCGCATCCTTCTAACATTATGTGTTATCAGATTTCTTAATTTTTAACTGTCTGGTAGATAAAAATTTTTGGTGGTTTTAATGTGCAACTCCTTGATTATTCATGAGGTTGTTTATCTTCCCATATATCTATTGGCCATTTCTCTTTATTCTTTTGTATAATTTGCTTTTCTGTAACTTGTTTTATGTAATGGATGCAATATCTTCTCAAATCTCTCTATATTTATTAGAGTTAGTTTTTGTGTTTTTTCATAAATTATTTCAGTTGCTTCCAAAGCCAGATTTTTTGGAGGTTTATTTTATTGTTTGCGCTTGATACTGTAGTCTTTCCTCAACTATCTGATGATTCTCAGACAACTCATTATTTAAGAGCTAAGGCTGCCTGGGAGCTTTGCGTATATGGACAGGCTTATTGACTGATCACCTTTTGGTTTAGGATGGCTGGGTGCACAGCCAAATCTTAGCTGGGGTCCTACAAATTACAGAATCGTGAGGAATTTGCTCTTCTTGCCAGTGTCCATAGCAACTACTGTAGTTCTCAGTTTGTTCAGATTCTTTAGGAAAGAACCTTTTATTTTCAGAGTGTAAATAACTGCCTATGTTGTGGGACTGGTGGCAGAATTGATACTTCTAATTATTCAACACTTCACCCTTCTGATTTCAAATCCTCTTTGACTGCTGTTTACCATTGTTCCCGCCTTCTCTAAGTCTGAAGCCTCTGAATCTGAAAGGGCCAAACAAACCTCTTGACTAATAGGCCGGGCGCGGTGGCTCACGCCTGTAATCCCAGCACTTTGGGAGGAGGAGGCAGGCGGATCACAAGGTCAGGAGATTGAGATCACCCTGGCTAACACGGTGAAACCCCGTCTCCGCTAAAAATACAAAAAAATTAGCCGGGCGTGGTGGCGGCACATTCCCAGCTACTCGGGAGGCTGAGGCAGGAGAATGGCCTGAACCCGGGATGCGGAGCTTGCAGTGAGCCGAGATCGCGCCACTGCACTCCAGCCTGGGCGACAGAGCGAGACTCCATCTCAATAAAAAAAAAACCCCAAAAAACAAACAAACAAAAAAACCCCAAACCTCTTGACTATTATAGGTTGTAGCTTATTTCTTTCTGCTTCTTGTGACAATACTCTTCCATATATATTTTGTTTTGTACAAGTTTCTAGAAATTTTTCATCACCTCATGGCCTGTGTCCCTTCCTTGTTAAGGGTTTATACTTTTTAAAATATTTTTAATGATTTCAGTAAGGTTTCTGGTCAGACAAAAGTGGTTTTATTGAATTGGAATTCCAGCATATTTATCAAAAAGCTGAGAAGGGAAAAATGCAGGGCTTTACCAGTAGAATGTCTTTTTAGTGAGGTCCATGGGTAAAATATTTTTTACCCATGTCAGAAGACCTTTTTTGTTTTCCTTTGTTTTGTTTTGTGTTGTTATGGTTGCCTTAATGTGATTCAGATTGATATGGAGCAAGTTTCCTAATCTCCAGGCTACTACCTTACACAACTTTGGGGGCACCGTTTATTTTGGAGTAAGTGCAAATAGGATGTCTCATGCTATACACGTGGAACAACTATCTCTAAACTTGAGCCAGTAGCTCTATCAGGATTATTAATAGATTAAATCAGATCATACATTATGTAAAACTTCGAGCATATAAATGAAAATTGCTTATTTAATATTATAGAGCCTTCTTTTAATCTAGTTTAAGCTTTACTACTATTAATAAGGTCCCTGATTAATTACCGGTTGGTATCTATATTCCCTCTTTCCTGACTTACCTCACTGTATGAGAAGGAAGGTTCTTGATGGTATGTGAGTTATTCAATCTTTAGGTAAAGAGAGGAGCCTTATTGGCTGGGTGTGGTGCCTCACGCCTGTAATCCCAGCACTTTGGGAGACCGAGGTGGGCGGATCAGGAGGTCAGGAGTTCAAGTCCAACCTGGCCAACATAGTGAAACCCCATCTCTACTGAAAATACAAATAGTTAATTGGGCTTGGTCGTGGGTGCCTCTACTCGGGAGGCTGAGGCAGAATTACTTGAACCCGGGAGGCGAAGGTTGCAGTGAGCGGAGATGGTGCCACTGCACTCCAGCCTGGGTGACAGTGCGAGACTCTGTCTAAAAAAAAAGAGAAGAGCCTTATTAATAATATGAAGATGCAGTAACAGACTTCCTCTACTCTTTAAACTGCAAGATGTCATTGAGGATGGAATCATCTTTCCTTTTTTATGCCATTGAAAATCTTTGAGTTTGATTCAGAGCTGCAATATAAATGTATGCTGAGGCGTTTTGTCCTCTGATATTTTAGAATTTTCTTACTGTGATATTTTTACTGTGAAGTGTTCAGATTGGCATTTTCCTCCAAGTTGTATGTTAATTGTGTTTAAGGTTTGGTCTCTCTGGCTTCATATTTGGTGTGTCCTAAAATTCTCTCCTTTTCCAGATTATCTTAGAAGACCTAGGATTCCAAAAATGTTTCCCCTGGAGGACGCTGAAATGGGAGCCTTTACCTTCTTTGCCTCGGCTCTGCCACATGATGTTTGTGGAAGCAATGGGCTTCCTCTTACACCAAATTCCATCAAAATTTTAGGGCGCTTTCAAATCCTTAAAACCATCACCCATCCCAGACTGTGCCAGTATGTGGATATTTCTAGGGGAAAGCATGGTAAGTTATTTTCTTTTTTTTCCTATTTATGTTTTCTACTTTGTTACCCAAAGTTATAAATACTGTATCCACTAAATATATAAAGCTATCATCAGTTCCTGTGCACACATGTCCTTCTTTCTCTCCTCGTTTTCCCCCACCCTGCCTCACTCTCATACACTTGCCCATTTATTTGCAAATCTACTAGGTAAAATTCAAACTCTTTACTAGGCTATTGCATGCAAAAATCCTTCATCTAGTCCTTGATCCAGTCTGTGCTGTCCTCTTTCGATGTATTGCTTGTTGTTTCCATTAATTTAACCATTCATTCCAGCCAAGCTGAGTTGCTTTGAGGTTTTTTGATTCACACATCCTTGATTTTGTTCTTTGCAATTTTCTCTCATGGATTATGCTATGAGGGAGGGGCAAAGGTAACAGAAATTTATACTGAGCAGAGTGGCCAAATATACCTATCAGTAAGCTATGGGAGGAATCATGAATATTTATGAAAGGAGAACCATGTGTATGTGCATTTAAACTTCATTCCCCTTCAAGCTGCTTCATGGGTCCCACATATAAAAATTGGCAATGTTGGCATGATCTGATGGTCATGATCCGAGGGTGGAGTTTTTCACCCTCTGACGTCAAAGGTGGAGCAAAGGACACGAAAACCCTTACTGCTCATTCTTGGTAGACTGGCCAGAACCACTCCATGGTTGGTTATCAGGCAAATGGTTGCTTATCAGGCAAAAAAGAAGGGGTAGTGTCAGACAGTTGGTTGATATCAGTTGTGAAATCTTTTGAAAGGGCTGGTTTTCGCTAAGTCCCTAGGGAAGAAAGCCTAATCATGGTTAAGAGGGTGGTATAATGAGGTAGTCTGACCCTAAGTGCTATCATGGCTGAGAACTCAGTTTTCAAGGTTATTCTGGGGTCCCCTTGGCCAAGAGATGGTCCCTTTCGTCAGTTGAAGGGCTTTGAAGATTACTTTTAATTTACAGTAAACATCTAAGGAAATGAAATTTTAAGTTTAAAACTGTAGCTTCAGTAGGCTTTAGGAAGTCTGTGAACCCCTCAAATTACTATAAAATTGTATATGTGTGTATACATATGTACACATGTGTTTGCTGAATAATGAAAATTCATAGTTTTTCACAGATTTTCGAAAAGGATTCCTAATGTAAAAAAAAAGGAGGAGAGAGGGGGCTTAAAAGCACTGGTGTAGAGTATCAAGGGGTATGGAGAGATCATCTTCTTTGGAGAGATCATCTTCTTAAGGCTAACTTGAGAAGTTCTAATGTCAGGTCCTAGTCTTTTCAAAATTGATTTGACCTGCACCTAGTGTTGCACCATGTCATATATTTACCAATCAGGAGACCCACAGTCAGGGCCACTGTATGGGGTTTTGCCACACTGCATAAAAGCTTCTGGATAATGGAGTAAGTGGGAGCTGAAATCTGATTCTCTAATTTATTCTAGGGGGAGGGGTACTTTTTCTAATTTGGTTAAAGAGAACTGTGAAAACTAGTGGTAACTATATAGTAGACTATAGATAGCTCCAGCCATTTGCTGAAAGCCCAGAAAATAACTTTTGGTGAGTTAATTTTTGTTCAAAAAATAATTTTTTGCCAAAGATTTTTATTTGTTACCTGGCTTCAATGACATTAAGTAGATGTTGAAAAATTACGGGGATCATTTGGGGCTTTTTACGTCACCAAGCAATATAATAGATATTTTCAAAACCTGTATACTTCAATACCCCATTACCCTTAACTCAGCTATAGATTCTAAAAAATTGCCAGTTGTAGAGTTGGCCTATTTCCAAAACCATTCTTTGGTTGTCAGTACAGTAGTATTAACCATGGGTGGTGAACATCTGTAAAGTTGGCAGAGGCCTGTCTTTCCAAACTCTTGCCACCAAGAGCCCTTTGTTTATTCCCACTGTATCTGGAAGCCCCTTTGGAGCTTCACTTTATGTATTTGGGGTTTTTCCTCTGACCAATTTTTCCTAGGCCTTTTCTCAATTGACAAAATAGTCCTAAAGCTCCTTCTTTTCCTTCCTCTACCTAACTTGGCCTCTATAAACACTGAATTAGGAACTGTGTTATAGCATGATTCTCTTTGGGGAGCATTCTTGCTAATTTTGCCTATGAACCTTCTTTTTGATTATCAAAATCAGGTGGGAACTGATCCCCTTAGAAACTGTAATTGTTCTACTGATTGTTGTTCTCTGAGGCCAGTTCAACGGTATGGTTAGTCCCCTTAGCCCTGTCCACCATATTGCTGTTTACTCTGCTTCCCTGACTTGCCTTGCTCCTCATGTTATCTCAGCAGCCCTCTCTGCTAGGGTAACATAGGTCATGAATATATGTAAAGTTTATATATTTTAAGTCTAGTTGTCTGAAATGAAAATATCAATTGTCATTAGGCTAGGGAATTTGATTATTTTGTTTTTATTGGCAATGTTTAACATTCTGAAAAGTTGTGTGTATGAGTAATAATTTACTGTTAGAGTAACTGCTTATGCAAAAGTCTGTTTGTTCCAAAACATTGTAGTCAGTTCAGTTGCATCTACTTTGAAAAATTTGAAAAGTTGCTGCTGAACAATCTCCTTAGTGAAAGTATTTCTCAGTGTGAACACCTATTTTTCAGTGGTGTAATACCATATAACTTTGATTTGTGTCTTCTCAAAGAATTTTGATTTTGATTCTACTTTTCCTCTTTTTTTCTGTTCTTGCTATGCAGATATCTTACTATTGTTAGTCATGCCCCTTCCCACCCTGCATGTTACTGTTAAGTCAATAACAATTAACTTCTTACTGGGAGTCACATACTCCTCTTACATGTGGTCTGTTTTAGTAACAATATGTTTTCACATATGTTAGCTCAGAAGTAAAGGCACTGTTTTCTATAGATCATTCAAAACTAATCAAAGATGATAATATTTTCTTGCTAACTCAGCAGGATGAAGTTTTTAATCTCAGGAATGGTAGACACTTTATTAGAATTTCAGAACTTTTTTTCTAGTAGAAGAAAATATCTTTAGGAGAAAAGAAGCCAGTAAACGCTGAAAATACTGTGTTAACAAATTTTATCTTTTCTTTTGAGCTTGAAATCTCAGCTGTGTTTAGAAGCAGAGTGAAGATTATAAATAGTAGTACATCCTTTTTAATTTGGTATTGATTATCCAGAAATCTTTCAATGATTGCTGGTGAAATCAAGAATAAAAATTATTTTATTTGAAATTAAAGTAGAGAATAATACAATTATATGGAATGTAAGATTAATTTATTCTGTATCTCTAGCATATAAATTTTAATCTGTGTTTATATTACTTTCATAAGAGAAACAACAAATTATATAATTATATAAATTATATATGTAGTATACATTATATAAGTATATTAAAAATATTGCTGAGAATTTGTGTGCATGATTGTGGGGGCTGCTAGGCAAGTTTGAAATTCATGAGGAAGGTCATCAAGAAGGACAAGCTGAACTCTTGGGCAGAAGCTGAAGCTGTCATCCACAGGTGGAATTTATTCTTCTTCAGGGAAGCTTCAGTTCTGCTCATAGTTATTTATTTTTTATTTATTTATTTTTCAGAGACAGGAGTCTCACTATATTGCCCAAGCTGGTCTTGAACTCCTGGTTTGAAGTGATACTCCTGTCTCAGCCTCTCCTGTAGCTGGGATTATAGGTGTGAGCCAGTGTACCTGGCTTTCAGTTCTGCTCTTAAAGGCTATTAAACTGATTGAATCAGCATTATTCAGATTATCTAGGATAATTTCCCTTCAAGTAAACTGATTATAGACTTTATTCATTTGCAAAATAATTTCACAGCAACATCTAGATTAGTATTTGATTGAATGACTGGATCCTATAGTCTCGTCAAGTTGACTCATAAAACTGACCATTGCAGTGTTCTGGTACCGATACTATTCTTTAAGCATAGTATTTTTCTTTGTTGGTTTTGAACTGTATAAGCACTTATTGAGATAATCATATTTTAAAGGTGATGAGCTAGTCTCGATTTTTACTGTGAATAACAAAAGTGATGCAGTAAATGTATTCTGACAACGTTTATATTATTTTAAGGGATTCATGATTCACCTCTTTCTCTAAATTTAAAAAAAAAACGCTACTTTTAAAAACTTTATTTTACTTTCCCTGCCCCTTATTCAGCTCCTTTATTCTTGCTTAAATGTGTGTTCTCTTCAGTTTCTTAGTGTTAACTTTGTATTAGCCTGTTTTCACGCTGCTGATAAAGACATACCCGAGACTGGGCAATTTATACAGGAAAAACCTTTAATGGATTTACAGTTCCATGCGGCTGGTGAGGCCTCACAGTCATGGTGGAAGGCAAGAAGGAGCAATTCATGTCTTACATGGATAGCAGCAGGCCAAAAAAAGAGAGCTTGTGCAAGGAAACTCCCTCTTATATAACCATCAGAGCTCATGAGACTTATTAATTATCACAAGAACAGGGAAAGACCTGGCCCTGTGATTCAATTACCTCCCACTGAGTCCCTCCCACAACACATAAGAATTCAAGATGAGATTTGGGTGGGAACACAGCCAAACCCTATCAAACTTAAAACACACAGTTTGGGCTGGAGACACTACATCATACTTGGGGTTCCTCAAATCTTTGTTAGAAGGAAGACTATTTCGCAATTATTGTATATTCTACTCTTTAAAGTTCATCTCAGCATCACTTTTTTTTTTTTTTTATAAATAATACTACTACATTGATGATTTATATTTGGCACATTATGTTTCCCAAATGCTTTATTCTGTGAAATTCTATTGTTTTTATAACATGTTATTTTTAAACAGTGGTCCAGAGATTTTAGAATGAAGACTCTCTAAAGATTTCTTTAAAAAACATAGTTCATAGTAGAAATATTGTTTTGGTATACACTACATTATCTCTGGGAGAAACTTTGATGTTCTGCCGAGGATTATGGCTCTGCAGCATTAAAACTATGCTTAATAGTTCCATAGAATCTTGAAGCTTTGGCAAACACTTGTTTATGATATTTTGAAGGGGTTTCCAAAAGCCTGAAAAATTTTAGTTGTGCCAGATACTTTGGAAATCTCTTATAGATATGGAGAATTATGAATATCCAATTTAAAATGATTAATGGAATATGCACATTTTAATAAATTATTTTGTTTTTGTTTTACGTGAAAGTCAGTGCTACTGAGTTATACTGAGTTTATAATATGGGCATGTAATTTTCTACACAGGACAGAGCTCTGTTTAGTGACTGTGGTCGTATGAGATTCTTCATTTCTAATGGCCGCATCATGCCTTTGCTAAAGATAATTCATTTAACAGTTATCTTTATATTACATGCCTATATGTTGTAAGTGACATTCTACACACATGTGATGCAGTACACCTGTGTGCACTAGGCACCTGTGATGTACTACTGTGATGCACCTGTGTGCAACTACTGATGCACTGCTAGGCACCTGTGATGAGACGCACCTCATTCCTGCCATCACAAAATATATTATCTGATGGGAAAAAAGATACTACAATAGTCCCCCCTTTTCCTCAGGGGATGTGTTCCAAGAAGTCTCCTGCCACTCCCATTGGATGTCTGAAACTGAGGATTGTACAGAATCTGATTCTCATGAGTCATAATATGTTTCTATGTATGTCTTCTACTCACAAATTTAATGCCTTTTCCATCTTAGCTAGGCACTTGTCTTGCACTGTGGTCATAATTTTGTAGTTTGAGGCATGACAACAAAACTAGCATGATTTTCTTTTTTCTTAAATTTCACAAATAGAAAATTTCTTACCATACATCTTAACAACTGATTTTTTTTTCTTTCCTTATCAAGTTGAGAACTTTCACCTTTTCACTTGAAGGAAACACTTTACATCTTCTTTTTGTTGTTGTTGTTTTTAAGACGGAGTCTCACTGTGTTGCCCAGGCTGGAGTGCAGTGGCGTGATCTTGGCTCACTGCAAGCTCCGCCTCCCAGGTTCACGCCATTCTCCTGCCTCAGCCTGTAGCTGGGACTACAGGTGCCTGCCACCACGCCTGGCTAATTTATTTTTATTTTTTTTGTATTTTTAGTAGAGATGAGATTTCACCATGTTAGCCAGGGTGGTTTCCTGACCTCATGATCCGCCCACTTCGGCCTCCCAAAGTGCTGGGATTACAAGCGTGAGCCACCACACCTGGCCACGTCTTCTTTTTGGCATATATTAATTGCTGGTGAGAGATTTCATTATGCTACTCAGAATGGCATGCAATTTAAAACTTAGAAATGGTTTATTTCTAGAATATTCCATTTAAAATTTTTGGAAACTGCAGAAAGTAAAACCATGAATAAGTTGGAGTTATTGATGATGCTGGCTGGACCAAAATAAAAATGCATACAAATTATTAGAGTTGAAACAAGTGCTACGAAAGAAAATTAAAATGTGGAATAGAGTATGTTGTAGGAGAGCAAATCGATGTTGGGAGGTCCAGAAAAGTGTCCCTTGAGGAAGTCACATTTAACTGAGCCCTGAATAATGAATAATAATAAAAGCTAACAATTAGCTAGTGCTTGTTATGTGCCAGACACTATTCTAGGCTTTTATTATATATTAACTCTTTTCAACCTCACAACAACCCTGTGAGGTAGGTGGCTATTCTTCTCTTCATCTTACAGAAAAAAAACTGTCATAGAGAAGTTAGAAAATTTCCCTGAGGTCACATAGTTAATTAGTAGTAAAACTGGGATTTGATCCCAGACGAAATAGTCTATACTCTTTACCACTATGTGGGAAAGATCATTTGAGGCAGTAAGAACCCATGTGTAAGTGCCCTAAGGCAGGAAGCCAGAAGGAAGATCAGTGTGATGGAAGTTGGTAAACTAAGATAAAATAACATAGATGAAGCTAGAGAGGGAGTTCCATATTCAGACTTCTTATGATTTTATCACTTGGGCTTTAGTGTGAAGATATGTTGGAAAGAAATAAGAATTAATGTGAGAAGATCAGTTAAAAGATTGTTGTAGTTCTCTAATGAGATGATGCTGGCTGGGCCCAGATTGTGGCAGATGGAGCAAACTATATAGATTCTAGAAATATTTGAGAGATAAAAATAGCAGCCCTCTGTTTATTTGGATTTGAGAAGGGGAGATTACTGTTTAGTTTCTAGCTAGAGCAGTTGACTGGATAGTGATATCATTGACTGAAATAGTATTAAAGGGGACAGACTTTAACAGTAAATTATAAGTTGAGTTTTGGTTCTCTTGAGTTTCACGTGACTTTTATATTAAAATCCTGTAATATGGGCTATAAAAGCCTGCAGTTCAGAAGAGAGTGTTGGGCTTGCAATAAAATCTCAGAGTTTTTCAGCCTTGGGAATAGATGAGAAAACAGGAAAAAGACCCTGAATCAAAGGTGGAGAAACTGGTAGCATTTCAATTTGGGTAGAAGAGGTAAAGATTTACAGAGGATACTGAGGGGAGGGAGCCAGATAAATGTAAGGAAAATGGACAAAACGTGGTAAGATGAAAAGCAAAGGAATGCAGCTTCTTGTTTTGGTTTTCTGATAAGGTTGACAGCTTTTTTCTTCTGGAATTTTACCATTGTACTAAATTGCTTGGAGCTTACCTTTGCATACTCTTTTCTTTATTAAGTAAATAACTTGACCTTTTATTTCATGGTTTCCTTTCCTTTTTCTTTTTCTTTTTTTCTCGTTAAATATTCTTTTAAATTTAATTTTCTTTAAATTCCTGTTAAATATTCCTGTTCACCTCCCTCTCTAGTTTCATCATTTGCTATTTCATTTTATTCCTATTCCTCTACGACTGGAATCTTTTATCCGAAAATGATAATATTCATATATAGCATTTTTAATTTTTGTGTTTCAGATCATTCTGTATAATCCCATTTTGCTAGACAGAGTAAACTTAGATATGATCCAAGATAATACTTTGCTCCGACACTTGACATGTCTGCCTGAACACAATTGTCCATCTCCCCTTCCCCTATTCAAGACCATACCTTAATCCAGTCATTACTGAACTATTTTATATACTAGATTTCTTACTCTGAACTCCCTCTTTCCCATCTTCTTCTGTCTGTTTTTTCTACCTTGGCTACTTTTTCACTTTCACCAAATTTTCATTTTACAGTTTTCATTATTCCTAGTTTCTTTGCACCTTTACTTTATCTAGTCTCAGTCTGTCATTGTGTTTTGTGTTAAACTTCTTCCTTATTTTACTTAGAATCCATTTTGCATAGATACTGACAACACTCCAACTTCTTTTGAACCAAACTCCTCAAATAACCTTGTCAAATCCCCAAAAGCTTGGAAACCCAGTTGTACTTTTCTTTTATTCCTCTTAGATTCATTGTCAAACATCATGTTACTGACTTGGGATAATGGATGAGGCAAAAAAAGTATGGATTAGCCCTTAGAACTGTGCCATCTTGATCAGTTGATCTGTGGGAAAATAAAAATGACATCATAATGTTGATCATGTCTACCACTGTTTTGTTTTATTTAATCTCAGCAGACCCTATGATGTTACAAACTACAGTTGACCCTTGAACAACATGGGTTTGGATGCACACATCCACTTAAATATGCAGATTTTTTTTCCAGTGAATTTATATTGGAAAATTCTTTGGACATTTTTGACAATTTGAAAAAACTCATTGATGAACCATGTAGCCTAGAAATATAGAAAAAACATAAAAAGGTGTGTCATTAATACATAAAATAAATGTAGATACTATTCTATTTATGTGTTGTCAATAAGGCTTCCAGTCAAGAGTAGGCAATTAGTAGTTAAATTTTGGGAGAGTCAAAAGTTATAGGTGATTTTTGACTGTGTAGGGGGTTGGCACCTTTAAGAAACCCCTGCGTTGTTCAAGGGTTAACAATAATTCTAGGTTGATTTTCTTTCTCTGTAGTTATGATTTGGATTATTTCTACTTTTTTCCAAGTTTCTGAATGCAATTTCAAAGATGTGTGTTTAAAACCAGAGTGTCAGGCAATCTGTACCTAACTCCTTACTTTCCCCTTCTTTCAAAATTCTTTATATATTAATCCAATCTTTTACTTCTTTCTTCCAATCTGTGTCAGAAGAAGGGTGAGTTATTTTTTCCCCAAGGACAGTCTTTCCGCCTGTTTTTCCTGATGGACATAAGAAAAACTCTAGCGGAAGAAAAATACAAGATAAAAAAAAAGTTATTGTTTTATTAGATGTTTATTATCCTATATACTTGGTAATAATGTAGTTAATATAGAGTTTGAAAAGCTCTTTAAAAATATTGTTATGGGTGTTATATGTTAATGTCATCAGTGGAGAATATTATTTTGTTTTTAACATGTCATATTGATAAAATATAACATGGGTTTGCTTTGTTTTACTCAGAACGACTAGTGGTCGTGGCTGAACATTGTGAACGTAGTCTGGAAGACTTACTTCGAGAAAGGAAACCTGTGAGGTACTGTAGAGTATCAGAACAATTAAATGAAAAGCAGAACTTGGCCAACAAAAATGCATTTTGTTTAAACTGCAGGGTTTTGGTTTCTTTTGTTACTTAATGATAAATGTAGGTGCAAATTTTCATTTGAGAAAATTTAATTTACAGATTACATAGGAATTCAATGTTAACATAGTCCAGTATTCATCTTTTGTGAGGTAGGCATTCTCTGAAATATTTCAAAAAAATACTTCAAAAGGGGATATATGAACATTTGAAACTTCTTAGTACTAAGCATTTCAGTAGCTGGGATTAAGATTATTTTCCTGTATTTTTAGTAGAGAGGAGCTTCACTCTTTTGGCCAGGCTGGTCTCAAACCCTTGACCTTGTGATCCACCCACTTCAGCCTCCCAAAGTGCTGGGATTCCAGGCATGAGCCACCGCACTGGGCATGGTGGTGCATGCCTGTAGTCCCAGCTACCTGGGATGCTGAGGCAGGAGAATTGCTTGAACCAGGGGAGCGGAGGTTGTGGTGAGCCGAGATGCACCACTGCACTCCAGCCTGGGCAACAGAGTGAGACTCCATCTCAAAAAAAAAAAAAAAAAAAAGGATTATTTTCCTGAAAGGAACACCTGGTAACTTCAAATAGGATACTTGTATTCCTAGGCACACAGTGAACTGTGTTAAATAAAGGTCACATTGAAGAGTAGGGAGAAATACTAATCATAGCTTAGATATAATTTAATGATACAGTTTAAATGCAATTGTTGCAAAGACTCAATAAATTTACTCTCTTGGCAAGGAAAGTATGTGGTCTAAACTTTTATTACAAATATACTATTAAATTAACTTCTTCACAGATTTTCTGAAGTGACCTTAAAATTATCAAAAATCTTTTTTAATGTATAAATCACATTGTATTAAACCAATAAAATATCTTGCCATGAGTGTTTATAGAATTATAATTATCCATCCTAGTTTTGAAAAATATTGTTACTCTGATTAGTTAATAGTTTTCCATTACCACAATATTCTAGATGAAAAATCTTTTTCAAGGAAAGAAAAACATTTATCTTAATAATTGGTAGTAATTTGATAGAAGCAAGACAAATAAATTGAATAAAAGTGCTATTATTGCTCTTTTAAATGATTTGGTTTTTGGTGGCCTCTGGAATGAAAAATGCAGATACCATGTATATACCAGCAGTCCCCAACCTTTTTGGCACCAGGGACCGGTTTTGTGAAAGACAGGTTTTCCATGGATGGAGGGTGGAGGGATGATTTCAGGATGATTCAAGTGCATTACGTTTATCGTCTACTTTATTACTATTTTTATTATATTGTAATATATAATGAAGTAATTATACAACTCACCATAATGTAGACTCAGTGGGAGCCCTGAGCTTGCTTTCCTGCAACTAGAAGGTTCTATCTGGGGGTAATGGGAGACAGTGACACCCAAAGTCTGTTGCTTATGTTCAGTCTTCTCTGTAATCTCGTTTTGGTTTGGTTTGCTGTCACTGCAGAAAACCCTGCTTCACAAAGATAGGATGTTGGAAATGGAAGCAGGCTTTTCAGTGCTTTTGTGCCAGTCTCGGGATATTCTGTCTTGATTTTAATCTAGAATGTATGGAGATTTGATATTGTCGAGTTGATCCTCTTCTAGCACAGATGAAGTCAATTCACCTGGCTTATTCACAAATGGCTTGCGGATCTATTCCTTCCCAGTTCAAGGGTCCTTTGTGGTTGGGAAGTAATGTTTAAACTCTTTTGAAAGCTGAGATAAGTGATCCTGCACCAGTTGGGAGAAAGGAGGCCGTGGCTCAACCTCTTTCAAAATCTCTGCTAATGTTTGAAACATGTCAGAAATCCCAGTGTTCACTCACCACCCCCATAATTCCAGTTTAGCTTTAAATGCGGCCACTTTATCTGTGGACTTGAACACAGTTGTTCTCTCCTGAAGTGACAGATTGAGTTTGTTGAGCAGGTTGAATATATCACACAAGGAGGCAAGCTTTTTGACCCATTCTTTGTCACTGAAATGTGCTGCCAGTGGTGACTATTTTTCTAAAAGAAATCTCTGGAGCAGCTCTCATAACTCAAAACTCTGGCCAGCGATTCACCTTTAGAAAGCCATCAACTTCTGTGTTTAAGAGAAGACGTGTGTACTCTGTGTCCATCTCCTTACAGAGCTGCGTGAACAGATGTGAGTTAAGGGCATGCACTTTTTTTTTTTTTTTTTTGAGACTGAGTCTTGCTCTGTCGCCCGAGTAGCTGGGACTACAGGCACCCACCACCACGCCTGGCTAATTTTTTTGTATTTTTAGTAGAGACAGGGTTTCACCGTGTTCGCCAGGATGGTCTCGATCTCCTGACCTCGTGATCCACCCGCCTCGGCCTCCCAAAATGTTGGGATTACAGGCATGAGCCACCGCACCCGGCCAGAATAATATATTCTTTTAAATAAAAATCAAAGATTGGTGACATTATAAAAATTATAACTATAAAAACACATTTATTAAATAAGGTTAAACTATTTCTAAATACATATAAAAGTTATTCTTACCTATAGTCATATTAGACTTTTCTAAAGAAGGATGTAAGGCTATAGTGTACATCAGGGGTTCTCAAACCCCAGACCACAGACTAGTCCTAGGCCCTGTACCTAGGACTACACAGCAAGAGGTGAGCAGCAGGCAAGCCAGCAAAGCTCCATCTGGGTTTACAGTTGCTCCCCATCGCTGCATTACCACCTGAGCTCTCTGCCTCCTGTCAGCTGAGCAGCAGCACTGATATTCATAGGAGCACGAACCCTACTGTGAACCATGCATGTGAATGATCAGGGTTGTGGGCTCCTTATGAGAATCTAATGCCTGATCATCTAAGGTGGAGCAGAGGCAGTGAAGCTAGTGCTGGGGAGTGGCTGCAAATACAGATTAACATTAATACAGAGGTTTGATTGCACAGAGACCATAATAAATCAATTACTTGCGGACTAATCAAAACCCTGTCAGTGAGAAGCAAGTGACAGTTAAGCTGTATCTGGTGGCAGGCTTTAGAGTGGCAAGTGAGTTGATGTACTTCAGTTGTACAGCTGCATCTGGTGGTAGGCTTTAAGTCAAAATGCAACATTTATTTCAGTCTGCACATGGCCTGCCCATTATTTTATTTATCACTTCTATCTGCACCTCCTTCCTGCACGGCACACTTGTCTCAGTCACAGTTTTGATAAGCCTACAAGCTAACCCCAGTCACAATGAGTAAAAACTAAACATCACTGGAGACCTTCTTTAAAAAGGGGGAAAGACTCAATGATGAAACAGCAGAAGACTCTAAGACTGCCAACAAAAAGAAGCTTCATTTAAAAGAAAATACCAACAGTCCTACTTAAATTATAGGTTCATTGCAACAGGTGATTCACATTCTCCAAGTCTGCTTTGTATATGTGGCGACCAGCTATCCAATGAAGCCATAAAACCTTCAAAACTTCTTTGCCACATGAAGACGAAGCAGCCTGTATTAAAAGACAAGTCTTTGGAGTTTTTCAAAAGAAAAAAACATGAACATAAAGAATAGAAGTAATTATTGAAAGCCACTACTTCATCAAATGTGTTGACACTAAGAGCATCATTCTTAGCGACTAACCACATAGCTAAGAAGCCCTTTACTATCGGTGAAGATTTGATACTGCCTGCTGCTAAGGACATCTGTCATGACCTTTTAGGAGAGGATGCCGTTCAAAAGGTAGCACGTGTTCCTCTTTCAGCTAGCACCATAACTAGACAAACTGATGAAATAACAGAGAATACTGAGGCACAATTGCTAGAATTAATGAGTCACCATGGTACACAATCCAGGTTGATGAGTTGACCGATGTTGACAACAATGCAACAATGCTTGCTTTTGTGCAATATATTTTTCAGGAGGATATGCATGAGGATATGTTATGTGCACTTTTGTTGTCAACAAACACCACAGCTACAGAACTATTCAAGTCTTTGAATGATTAAATATCAGAAAAACTGAATTGGTCACTTTACGTCAGTATATGCACAGACATAGTGGCTGCCATGACTGGACGGCTTTCTAGTTTCACTTCACAGGTCAAAAAGGTTGCTTCTAAATGTGAGTCTATGCACTGTGTCATCCATAGAGAAATGCCGGCTAGCTGAAAAATGTCACCTGAACTTAATAATGTTTTGCAGGATATGATTAAAATTATCACCCTCATTAAAGTACATGCCCTTGGCCAAGTGCGGTGGCTCACACCTGTGATCCCAGCACTTTGGGAGGCCAGGCTAGTGGATCATGAGGTCAGGAGATCGAGACCATCCTGATTAACACGGTGAAACCTTGTCTCTACTAAAAATACAAAAAATTAACCAGGTGTGGTGGCTGGCACCTGTAGTCCCAGCTACTCAGGAGGCTGAGGCAGGAGAATTACGTGAACCCGGGAGGCGGAGCTTGCAGTGAGCCAAGATCGCACCACTGCATTCCAGCCTGGGCAACAGAATGAAACTCCATCTCTAAATAAATAAATAAATATATTATTCATTGCTCACTAGTTCAAATTTACACTTTAACTTCAGGCCCCTGCTGCTAAAAAGCAATTTTCTTTAAAGGTAGTTGATGTTAAAATTGAAAACCAATTATGCCCACAACTGTAGGTAAGAAAAAATATTTTAGTTGAGGCTGGGTTAAATTTGTGTAAAGATTTACAATGCAACATGTAAGATGAAAATATGCATTTACAATGCAATGTGTATGATGCAATATGCCCTTACTAGTTAGGCAACCTTGGACAAGTCTCTTAGTCATTTTCCTTATCTGTAGAATAAGGAGTTTTACTGATCAAGAGATCATTGTGAAACAAGTTATTCTCAACTTAATGTTTTATTTAGTATGCATCATATCTGATAATACATTGATCAATTGTCTTTTTTTTTTTCTTTCTTTTTTTTTTTTTTTTTTTTGAGACAGAGTCTTGCTCTGTCACCCAGGCTGGTGTGCAGTGGCACA